CGAGTCCTTTGTCTCCAGCACTGACCCCTGACCTCGCTTGAAGAGTCCTTGGTCTACTGTACTGACTCCCGACCCTCTGCCCTTTGACCCCCAGAGGCTGCACAACGGTTCGGGATCTTCGTGGACAACATGGCCAAGGCGCAGTGGCTGCAGGCGCTCGACCAGGGCACGGCCCAGTATGGGGTCACCAAGTTCAGCGACCTCACAGGTGAGCAGAGCCCCCGCAGACTTCCCCCCCAGGCTCCCCGTGTCTCTGGTGGGGCAGGGGGTGGCCCCTGGGGGCTGAGGGGGGCGGGTGTGACCGACACCACCCCCTCCCACCCCCGGCCTACTTCTTACCCCCAGAGGAGGAGTTCCGCTCCCTCTACCTGAACCCGCTGCTGGCCAAGCTGCCGCCGCGCCCAATGAGACGGGCTGAAGCCCCCCGGGACCCACCCCCCGCCAGCTGGGATTGGCGGGAGCATGGGGCTGTCACCAGCGTCAAGGACCAGGTAGGTTTCTGACCCCCTCAGAACCTCTTCCTGGCTGACTTGAACCTCTCCATCAGCCCCCCCTGCCCCCACCCAAGCTAGTCTATGGATCCCACCAACAGCCCCTTCCACCTCGCCCAGGGCATGTGCGGCTCCTGCTGGGCCTTCTCTGTCACTGGCAATGTGGAGGGGCAGTGGTTCCTTCGTCGTGGGGACCTGATCTCGCTCTCGGAGCAAGGTACGTGAACATTGGGTGCTGCACAGAGCCCCAGGCCAGGATCAAAGGGTGCTGGACAGGACCCCCAGGTCAGGGTTGGGGTCTCCCTGTGACAGGCCACAGTTGCAGCAGGGAGCAGGCCCTGGGATGGAGGGAGGGATGTATGGAAGTCCACAGGGCCCAATCCTGCACTGATGTTTTCTCTGTCTTTTCTCCCCCTCGCCCCCCACTTCTCCAGAGCTGGTGGACTGTGACGGGCTGGATCATGCCTGCGGAGGGGGGCTGCCCTCCAACGCCTACGAGGCCATTGAGAGCCTAGGTGAGGGCAGGGGGCTGCGGGCCACAAGTGAGAGGCACCAGCAAGGCTGGAGGGAGTGGGGGGCATGGGTCAGGCTCATACCCCCACTTCCTGTGTGTCATCCGTGTCCGTGTCGTGTCCCCCCCCCCCCCCCCGGGGGGCGGGGGGCCGG